TAAACAGCCTACTCTTTTCTTATATACTCCGTATAAAAGAATAGATGACTATGTTTTACTCCATATTTTACACTAACGATTATGACACCACATTCTGATCATAATAGCTTTAGTCACAGTTTTATTTATAAGTACGTCTAATTTCAGTATTTTTTTAGGAAAACTTCTAAGTATAAATGTAGGATACACTTTTCACTCCCAAAGTTATAAACACGAATTAGCTAAACATATAATTATACTTACGGAATATATGGTATGGCAAACTTGACACTCCCCCCTTAATAGTGCAGCTAGCAAAGTCTCAGTGATTGAATTGATAAATACGTAGTAGGTAATTAAACGAACTACAACTACGTATGTCCACATCCTAATTCTGTGGAAAGTTTATTACCACTCTCAACTATTTGTGTTCAAAGTAGAGTATAATGTCACACACGTACACAATGTATAGGATCAATAATATATTCCAACAAAAAAGGTTAAGAAGCTCCTTGAAAGAATCATAATACGCTTGGAAAATAATATTACAACAACAACTTAATAATATTAACTACTAACATACTTGGAAAGTATTGACAGTTATATAATTAATTAATATTGTCAAATTAATTTCTGATTAAGTCAAAACATGCCATTATAATTTCAGGATGAGAGTAATATATTCATGTTTGAGAAAGAAATATAATACTTCTATTTTGAAATATCCCACTGCTCTTATTAATTTATTATTTTTTTCAGAAAAAATCCCCAACCAGATCTCACATCTCACTTTCTACGACTTCTGGGGTGTACTTTCTATTGCCATTCAATGGGAAGGTATATAAGGAACACTTCTATTTGAATAGGTTTATGATTTGATCGAAATATGATAGTTATGAAAATAATACTCGTATTGCCCAATTCATTCATGATAATGTATGATTTCAAGTTGAGGGTAAGGGAGTGTTTGGATCTTATTCATAAAATTGCTTCTGCTCTTTCGGGGAGCAGAAACAGAAGTTGGGGTGTTTGGTCGTTTGGATGAAAGTGCAGAAGTGATCCTGGTGCTTTAATTTACTCCTAAAATCAGTTCTTTTAGAAGTTGGGGGAGACTAACTTCTAAAATCTGATTCTAATTCTGCTTCTGCTTAAAAAAGAAGTAGAAGCAGAATCAGTTCCAAACACCCCTAATACATCTTTATTTGATAAAGAAATATAATACTTCTATTTTGGAATATTACATTCTACTTAATTACTGCTACTGTCATTGGATTATATTCAGGAATTTTCTTAAGTTCCTATAGTCATTGGATTGGAAGCTAGGTGTAGAAGGAATACTCTCATTTGAAAAGGTTTACAATTTGGTGAGAATGAAGAGTCAATGAAAATCTTGGATGCCATTTATTCGGAAAAGTTATGACTAGATCTGTACCAAACCAGGTTCCAGTCGGGCTTTTCACAATTTTAATTTCTACCCACTAGTGTGAGCGGGTCTAGCTTGCCCACAATATAATGTACGGGTCATCTAACATGTGTATACCCATCCATTAGTGCGGGCCGGATAATGAGCTTAGTTTCTTGGCCCAAAACACTTGTGATTTTTTCTGAATTACCGAAACCAATTAGATCGATTTAAAAATCATCTCACAACTTTTTAAGAATAATAAATTAGTTGAATAATGTAAATATATTCATCAACAAATATACATAAAGGGTTAAACCAAAGCAATCATCCAAAATAATAACTCAAATGTAAGTCTGTCTCTATTTGTTTTTGTTTTTGTTTAAACTCTTGATAATTAATTACTCCATAGTAGTTTGTTATGGAGTAATATAATACCCCTAAATGCAAGAATATAATGGATCACATAATATATAATGGATCATAACACACACATATTGAATGTATGCGGTTGGGCTTATCAGTCCGAACGACCGAACGGGTCTACAGCGCATCTCGGCCTGTTCAGTAAGTGTATACGTTCAAAACCGCTCATTGGGATGGACCAGTTGAACGAGGCATTCTGTATTTGCACATGTCGAGAGCTTATACCCACTAGCCCATCTAAATTTTCCTTCATTGTTTGAGAAATAAGCTAGCCATAAGAGGAGGCCTAATGTATAAGGAATTAAGGAAATGCAGATGGAGTGTTGCTTCTCCTACAGTCCTACTACAAAGCCCAAATTTGTGGCACATTTCTTTTTCCTTTGCCCAATTGCTAACTACTTACAAACCCTTAAGCATAGGTACTTAATTTGTTAGCTCTATTAAATTAATTAAAAAAGATAGGTACTAGGGCCGGTTCTTGAGCATAAAGCAACATATATTTGACCTCCATACATGTTAAGATTGACCAATTAGTTATTGTCAAAAAGAGCATATGACCTCCATACATGTCTCCCGCTCCGTCACATGGAACCCAGTTAGTGCTAAAGTAGTATCTAATCCAATCACATACGGAGTAAAAGGTTTACCTTGCACATTATCGTAATCCTACCAAATATATAGAATTAGGATCCATGATGTTATTTATTAGGGAAATTGTCTTAAAAAAGAGTAAAAACGTTTCTATTCCAAAATAGAACTGTTATGTTTTTTATTCCCTAAATATGAGTAACTGTCATATTTTGACAATACCAGACTTTCAACATGAAACTATTTTCCAAGCTTAGAGATAATTACTCCTATTTATGAAATAAAAACATGACAGTTATATTTTGAAATTATCAAACGTTTTATTCCCGAGGAGCAATTAGTTCTCAAACGTTTTTACTCATAGGGGCAATTGATTATACCTAGACCCGCAACCAACGAACTCATCTTAGTTATGTAAGGAACTAGAAGGAAATTAGTTTTTTTAGAGAGAGGGAAATTAGTTATATTAATTAATTAATTATAATAGGGAAAAAAGGTACTCTGTAATGTTTAATTAGTCCTATAATCCTATTTAGGGAAAATCAAATATCTGATCCAATTTTATAAAATATTACTCCTTATGTTTTATTCCTACAATGAACAATTTCCTTATTTCCTCTTAAAAATTGCTATCATGTGATTCATGTCTGATCAATTATTTACTCTGCATTGTAGGCCCTCTAGAATCCTGAGGTTTCGAATCAAATATATCGATCATAATCAGTCCATGTCTCTTTTGAGATGTCTTTCGCATGAACAAAATTATGTGTATATATATTGTTATTATGAGTACGTGCGGGGAGTTTGGATCTGTTCTGGTACGTTTCAAATTCACAACACACATCCATCATAATATAAATTATACTCCGTATTGTTTAATCATCTACGGAGTATAAATTAGTAAAGATTGATGTTTTGAAAATGTGTGTTGAGACAAATTTAAACAAATTTGCATTATGGGATTTGTTTTTATATGTTATTACAAAGTTATTGTCAAAATAAAGTACGGATCGGAGTATAACAATGTTAAAAATAAGTGTTGTACATCCATGCATTGACGAACTCTCAAGAAATTATTGAGGTAGGCCGTTATCTTTTTTCATATAGATTTTACACAAAAAAATTATTAGTTATTGTCCTAAATAGGACTAATGAGGACTAAAAAGCACAAATAGAACTACTACTTTTTAAATTCCTCAAATAGGACTAAATTAAACATTGATTTTCTATCCCAAATACCCCTAAGAGTATTAATTCATAATAAAACCATTAAAAAATGGTTTGGAATATTAAAGAATCGTAATAAAATACGAAGTATAAAACTTAATAAAATATTTACAAAATTAAAATTCTAAAAATAATTTCTTTTATTATTTTTAAATAAATAATAAAAAATAGTACAAACCCATAAAAAATAAAAAATAAATATGGATACCTTTCCCATAAATGATAAAATCCATAAAAATGATACCGTCAAATAAATTTAAGTCAAAGTTGACTTGCACGTAGAATAATAGAGTAGAAATTGCGTGATTGAAATTTGTGTAGAGGAGATAGAAACATCTTTAACCACAAGTGTAGTATATATTATTTTAAATGGAAATTGCAAATTTTTTTAGACAACCAAAAAAGGAAATATGATCAAGTTTTATGTGACGGAGGTAGTATCTAAAAAAGAACATGTAGATGGTGGGAGTGATCCAATTCAATTAACTCACACATCTTCTTCGTTAGTGAGATGAGATGTCTTGATTCAAGTCATAAGTGAAACGAACAAGTTTATTTAATGATCATATCGTTCATTCGTCCCCGTAACATAGCTTACCAAATTGGTTAATCAATAATAAGTGTCGCGTCAAATGACAATGTGAGTGCATGTTTAATTGATATTTGAACATATGATCAATGTTTAATTGCTTAAACATCTTTAGTTCTTAGTGAACTTTCATATATTTTCCTTTGTTATGAGAAGAACACTTTCATATATTTTCCTCAAGTGTGGTCTTTTTATTAAGTCTTTTTTAGAATAAACTTAATAAGTCTTATTAATACTCTAAAAATGGAAAAGCTTTGAAATTGCAAAAGGTTTTAAAAAGATTATTCACCTTGACTTTTACCTCTCTTTCTAAGAGAGTGTTTGCAATTGCTTCAACTTTAAAAAAGTGATTTTTTAAAGTGATCTTGGGAAAAGTGATTAATAGTAAAAGTTGGTAGTGTTTGAGAAAAAAGTGATTCTGGAAAAGTAAAAGTTGGTAGTGTTTGGTAAAATAAGTACTTTTTGTGTAATAGAAAAAGTGAGAAGCAGTTTAAAGCACTCTTCTACCTGCTTCCAGCTTTTAGCTTTTAAGTGATTAATTTAAGCAGAAGCTGTCATTTGAAAACACTCTTTTCAACTTTTTTAAGCCAAAAGCTGAAAAGCGTTTTTTTTAAGCAAACCCAAACACTCCTTAAGTCTCTCTATATGACAACCAAGGTACCTAGCTATATAGTGAAACACCACCTATTTTCATTACAATAAAAGCCTAATAAGGCACTAATTAAGCATTACTACGTATTCAGTGAAGTTTAATTTACGCTAGTAATGGAAATGAAGATGATCAAGAATCACAAGTCTCCTTCTAGCAAGACCAAAAAGAGCGGAAATGGCACTCCGCCGCAACCGGAGGGGAGTGGATGGAGATATCTGGGCGTGAGGCGGCGGCCGTGGGGGCGGTACGCGGCTGAGATAAGAGACCCCACCACCAAAGAGCGCCACTGGCTCGGCACGTTCAACACCGCCGAGGAGGCCGCCTTGGCATACGACCGTGCGGCCCGCTCCATGCGCGGCGGGAAATCAAGAGTCCGAACAAACTTCGTCTACTCCGACATGCCTTCCTCCTCCGCCGTCACCTCCATCATCTCTCCCGACGAGCAGCATTACAATAATGCTCTGTTTTATGTTTCTTGGGAGAACAGAGAGCCGAAACAGAGCCTTTACCCGTTCACCGCCGGTGAAGACACTTGCACCGATCAGTTGTTGTTGTTCGGCGGTGATCGGAGCGACGCCGGTCCGCCGGAAGTGGGCAGCCTAAACGGAACCGGCTGGGACTTGTTTCAGCATTACTACTACTGCGGTAATTACAGCAACCGTGACTGTGTTGAACAGGGCAAGGCTACGGCGGAGGAGGCCGAGCTGCCACCGCTGCCGCCTGACATCACCACCAGCTTCGGGGGCGGTTACTTCAGCAGCGGCGCTACGGGAGAACAGAGTTTCGGCCAAGCTACTAGCAGCAATGACAATGTGGCATACGCCGCCGTCATTGAGGGCGGCGAAGGCGGCTCCACCGGATGGGACTATTTAGGGTACGGTTGCAGTGGAGGCGGAGCAATTTTGACACCGCCGCGAGAAACAGAGCTCCGGCTGGACTTTGGGTCACCGGAATATAACGCAATCAACTTCATCACGAAGGATTCTTACGCTTTTTCAAATGGCGGCTGTTATTGGGTCTAATTCCCGCCTAAATTGGCATTATAATTTGCATTTTTAGTTTCTCTCGTCTTTTTCTCCATTGTTTTCAAGCTTCTCTAACGGCTAGAGAATTTCTTGATAACCCATGGAGGAAAACAGAGGTGAGTAACTTGGTTGAACGGTTAACAGCACTATGATCATTTTTAGTAGAAATTTGAGGTTCTCAAGCTACAATTTGTGGAATGTTTAATTTCTATCTGAAGTTTGTGATTAAAAAAAATATATTTGAAGTTTATGTTTAAGAATTATTCGGAATGTGTGTCATTTAATTACATTGTTGGATTGCTTGTATTGCACATGATTATTTATTTCCATGTATTTTATAAGGTATATAAGAGCTTGTTTGTAATTTCCTGTTTTTGAGTCATGAGTTTCTCAATACTTTTTTATCACATCGGTAACATTTAATTTCATGTCATAGATTGTGTATTTGTGTAAAATCAATATAAGGTTGGGGACTTTTGAAGCTAAATCGGTGAATTTGTTGAAGAAAATTATTTTAGCTATTTATCTATTTTTACTTTATTTTATTAACAAATTATATTTCAAATATGTAATATAATTTATCGTAATTCAATAGGTTCAGCCACTACATCCAAAATTTTACCTAATCTAACCGATTTAGCCAACTACAATGTTATCAAACTGTGCTTTTCTAAATGCCTCTAGGCATTTCAAAGTTATCAAACCGTATTTAGACACGCATTTGATGCGTGTTGGGATCGGCTTTTGATGGTTTTCCTAGCTTTAATGTGTTGCAAGTCTCAATTTTAGTTCAAGTTGTGTTTACCAGGCGTTGGTTCGAGTTTTGTATGGTTTGGAGTCAAAATCAGGAATTTAGAGTCCGATATCGGCGCTTGAGAAGCAATCGGGAAGAGCTAAAGAGCATTCGAGAGTGATTTGAGAGATTTGGAGGTCACCGGAAGGTTCACGACGAAGTTTTGATGAAGAAATAGCCATTGGATCGACCATTGGTGCATCCGGGAGCGTTTGAAGCAAGAAAACAGCGAAGAACAAGGACGCATGATCGTGCGTAATTCACACACGATAGTGCGTGAATTACGAATGTCGCGAGAAGCTACTGCCTGCTACGCACGATCGTGCGTAGGCAGGGACGCACGCTCGTGCGTAGTCCCGTGTTACGCGAAATACAGTCCCAGTTCGGTTAGAGTTCATTAATTTTCTCCTTTTTCTATAAATAAGGCCTTCATACTCCTTTTTAGGGGTTACGAATTTACTTGCGTTTTTACGATTGTTTTCTTCAAGACCCTGAGATTATTTGCAAGTTCATTCTTTTTAATTAATGACAATTATTTCTATTCATCCTAATTCTGTTGATTCTTCAATTATGAATTGTGAGTAGTTTAATTAGGGATATGGGGTTGATGAAGGGGTTAATCATGATGTATGGCTAGTTTCTTTGACGGATTAATTGCATGAATGCCGTTTAATTTGTGTTTGAATAATTTAACTGATATATTTTGTAACCTAGAATTGCGACTAGAATTACAATTGTATGTAGAATGAATTAAGAGAGATCTAACTTGTTCTAGGACACATTCACACACACTTAATCGTTCGCTAAGAGATTAGTAGGGATTAAGGGATCGTAAGCTCGCTCGTCTTGACAATAATTTAGGATCTTGTCGTATGAAAGATCAGTCCGGTCCCTTAAATTATTGTACTCTATGCCGCGAGAGCGGTAAGAACTTAGTAATGATTAGCTAGGGTCAATTAAATCAATTTCATGTAATTAGGCTTTATCTGCCAGAAATCTGGTTACCCCGGAATCAATCCTTGTTCCCTTCGTCGTTAATTAGAAAGAAAAACCAAGATTTTATTTGATCGTTCATTCGCATTAATTTAATTTCAAATCAACCATTCATCTCGCACAATTGCATTCATTTTATTTCTTTTTAATCGTTGAATTTAATTAATCTTTAATTCCCTTTTGTTCGGGCCTGTGGAGACGATACTCGTACTTTCAATCACGCATTTTTCTACAAACTTTTTAAGTGCGAGAAAACTCACATCAATCGTGTAATCGTTCATTTCTTTCAAGTACATTATAATAGGATTTATTTGACTCTAACATTAAGACCCAAAATTCTATCTAGGAGGTATATCTAATAGGAGCACTGGTCCAATAGTTTTAAATTTTACGTACTACATAATTTACTAATTCATATGTTATCGTATAGAAAATATTTTGACTAAATTATATGAAATAATTAATATTTATGACTAAAATAAAAATCATTTACAAAATTTGACTAGTGATGTACTAGAGTATGTAGTAATATTTAAATCACAGTAACTTATATTCAATTTTTAAATAAAAGCCACTATGACTCAATATTGTAATTACTATGAACCATATTGTTGTGTCAATAAGTTTTGTTTTAGTAACATTTGTGTAAAAAAAGTCAACTTATAACTTTGGTACTCAAAATATTCAATTCGTAAAATATAGTCCTGATTATATATTTATAATATATAGTCCTGATTATATATTTATATACTCCGTATTATGGATGAAAGTGTACCTATAATTAACAAGCACTATAAGATACTTTGGGAGTGTTCTTAAGTTTAACCGTTTAACAGATATATATATATATGCAACTATTTGTGTAATAAAAATGTGACGGAATTTTTTCATGATTATTGTGACTGAATTTATTTTTACATTTTGTTTGGTAGAATAAAATTTAGTATATGTACCTACGTACCCATATATTGTGACCGACACACACACACGCAAATATTTTTTGTGTAATATATGCACTATTAGTATTTTACATTATAGGTTTAATTTTTACTTATTACTTGATCCATTGGTTACACATAAAATTTGTTGCTCCTGCCTCCTATTTACACTTTGTACCTATATTTTTCTTTTATTCATTAAATTTTCTCAAGATGATAAATCTTAAAAGTGTCTTTTCTTTCTGAAACCAATCTTAAGATGATCGAGCTGCATGATGGTTAGGTTTGACCAGTCAAACAATCTTAATTCAAGATCCATACGATGTTCCCACCTTTCCTAGCATACTTTATAGTCCACGTATACACATTACACCGTCCGCATTTTGTACTAGTTACGTAGTAGATGTTTCGCAATCTTTTCGCTCGTATAAAAGTATATATACAAGAAATGAAATAAGATGATTATGTATTTAATGTGACACTATTTGCAAAATTAGATAAATACGTAGTAATGTAGTAAAAAATAATGTCTCAAATGAATTGCCAATTCAAACAACTACGTAGTAATACAAATAGGGTGCGGCCGCATGTGGGAAACCCTAGAAGAGTGAGCCACCGTTTCGAGGGGAATTACGAAAACTCTTGTCCGTCTGAATTTTAAAAGTGGTCTATGCACTCGTATGAGTGATGTTTTCTTCCCTAGAATTTCTAAGGTTCTTCTTATGTCAATTTTGACAATGGTGTTAAGGAAGGTTTCTTCACAAATTAATGAGGATGGAGTTTTGCTGGCGGAGGCTACGCCATCATGGGCTGCGAATGGGATCCAAGAGATGAAGGATAGATGAAGATGAAGTGATGATGATCTGTCCACCTCCTGAACCGCCGCCAAGGAGGATCTGTGAGACTAGGGTTCTCGCCGCTGCCATGGGTCATCTGATCCATCAGTTTATCTTTTTTAATTTCATTTTATTCAAGTTTAGTTTTTTTAAACACGAACTCTGTTCTTATCGTTTTTTTTTTGTTAAAGTTCATGGTACTAGGTTTATTACAACGACAAAGGTTTCAGCTAGATTTGATATGGTTAGTGGGGGATGGATCTATTTGTTCAGCAATAGCTACATTAAGCCCGTCTGGTGGTTAGCAATTCATATTGCTCCTTTAGGGGGTGATCGTCTTTATGTCTAGTCGTAGAGCTATAAGTAGTAGTTGAAATGTGAGAATAGCAGTCAGCGTTGGTCATTTGATATTGATGTAACGATTCTGATTCTAATGATATTAATATAGGCGATTTCCTCTTCAAAAAATTATACTACGTATATAGATAACAATTCGTTATTTAGTAGAAATCATGATAAATTTATAATTGATATAAATGTAGTGAAAAAGTGTGACTTCTTCGTGTAAATTTGCGAACACACTCGGCATTTTATATTTTTTATAAAGTAAGCGAACTAAGCACGAATGCACGATGTGTGATTGAGATGTTTTCTTTTCGACCATTTTCAGTCCCAGACCAGATCAGACCAGATCAGATCATACTTGACTTTCGTAGTTATAAAATACACAGAGACCAGACGTTTACCAGACTAGTCCAGACCAATTCAGACAAGACCAGACCAGATCAGACCAGACCAGAGCAACAAATTTCTGTCAAAAGAAAACATCGTTAGTAGCACCGTCTGATCCATTGGTGTCACCTGAAATTAAAAAACTCCTATATTTATTTCTTGATTTTTCTTCTTCAAATTCAGCTTATTTATTTTGAAAGATATTAATGTGTGATTCATTATGCTTATTGTGAATTAATCCAATCACATAATTTTCAACCTCTTTCTTAAAAAAAGAAAGCTATGTTTATTCGAAAAAGAAAAGAGCACGATGACATGATGAGTGATTCAAGTTCTTTATTTATTTTAAATGAATAAATCTTATTTATTCATCACGTTAGCTTGATCCATATATTTAAAAAATTAATAAAGGAATGATAAACAAAACAAAGGAAAAAAGGTGAAACACACCCTCTTACTATTTCTAATTCATCACTTAAGTCTTTTAACTTAAAAAGCAACACATAAGTATGCTTAGTTTTAAAATACAATCAATCAAACCATTTTGACCTTAGCTTCCATAGGACCATAGCATGTTACTTTTTAAAATTAAATTAGAAATATTGATAATCTTATGAAAATTCATATAAATTTGAATAAATAATCTACTAACAATATAAAAAATAGTATGAGTGTAAAAATAGATTAAAAATATGAAAACGTTAAAATAAAATAAAATAAAAAAGAAAAAAATCAGAAGTCTGAAAAAATAAAGTGAAAATAACAAATAAAAAATTTGAAAACCCTTTTAAATAGACGTA